GAAAATGGAAGGAGAACAGAAGCAAACTGCCGATGATGCCATTACAACTATGTCCTCTCTTTCCCTTGGAGTAAGAAAGGGACAGAGCCGGAAGAGTTGTACGAACTTGATTCCTCCACGACTTCACTATTCCGCGCTTATATGAATCAGCAGCTTGGACGTATTCCACGTTGTGTGTCGTAAGAGCGGCCGAGGTACCTTGCCCGTAAATTTACATTAGTAGACATCAGATCACTTAGTGACGACCTAGCGCTATTATCATGTAATTTCGAGCCGCGACAACGGCACTCGACCTTGTCTGAGGTTGTTACTCCAAACAACCCCAAATGCGACAGTGTAGAACAATCTGTTTTGTGAGCACGATAGAGTAGCCTGCGAGAATAACTATTGTGGCGTTGTCGCCCTCTACGCGCGACAACGGCGCTACTGCTTTACAATGGCAGCTAATGGCTACCAATGAGAGCTAATGAGCGAAATACTTCATCCACATCCAATGACACGCAACCTGGTTTACGATGTGGCGGTTAGTTTAAATAAGCGCGGGGTAGTGGAGCCATGGAGCAACAAGTTCGTACAACTCGTCTAGCTCTGTCCCTTTCTTATTTCGAGAATTTTTCATCAGCAATTTGCTTTGCTTATTGTTTTCATTTTTAGTCAGCTGGTTGTCCACTGTTTCATTGTCGACCGCTATTCCCTACCAATTTGATCTGTGGTCGTTGCTTATCACAGTCACAAACGGGACGACGCTATGCACAGAATTCGATTAGAAATACATTGTATCTGTACTGCACGATCACGCTTACCCGCTTCCGGGTATTTTGGCTGTCCATATTTGTGGTTCTGAAGCACTCGCTACTCAGACGATAAAGAATGTAATGAGTAACATAAACTCTTCAGATCTATCGCTTCTTTTCATGGCAATCGCCGGGGATTCAAAAGTAAGCGACAACAGAACCAGATCGAAAAATGCGCATGTCCACGCATGCTAACGAGTGCGATTTGACTGTGCCGTTCAGTGAAATGTCCAATCGAAAATCTCATCCAAAGTGTCGCAGGACTTTCAGGACATCTCGAAATTCTTGTTGAGGTTGTTGGCCCGACGATCTCAAAGTAAAAATAGACGTGTCAAATTTCAAAATCTGGCAAAACTGTCGTCATTCCAATATGTAGAATGCAAAACGTCACAACTCCACAGCATCCATTGCTAGGAAGTGTGGAATCGCTTTGGCATTATCACTGACGATGAATTCTACAAGAGCAAAATCAACTATTTACTGTCAAACTCTGACGAATTCCTCGAATTCGGTCGCCCGACATCCCCGAAAATCGTTCACATCGGTGGAATCACTGCACTAGAAGCCGCACCATTGTCTCAGGTAATGAAAGCTTACGATGCTGCAATTCTCGAGATGAACTGAATTTCATTTTCAAGAAGTTGCAACGAATTATGGAACGCACGAAAATGGGTGCAGTGTACATTTCATTTGGATCAATCCCATCAACGAAGGAGGTAGAACTATATTCTTGAAATTCAGAATCTCGGGTAAAAACATGGTAGAAAATTCTTCGAATTCATTTCAGATGCCGAAGCACTTTCGCGATGCAATAGTAGAAGTGGCAAAAACCTTCGAAAATTATGACTTTATATGGAAGGTCGATGAGGAAGACACTATTCAGAACGTTTCAAATTTGCACACATTCAGTTGGGTATCTCAACGAGCACTTTTAGGTTAGTATTCAATATTCTGTGGGGAGTTTGTGTGAGTATGATGGCAACAGGGTCAACCGTCCGTTGGATCAAGTCCAACGTGGGGGGGGGTCATATTTGGCCGACTAGAGAGTGGCGGTCGTATTCGTGATAGTCAACGTCGCAGTGCGTGGAATGATGAAATGTAACACAGATTTGAATAAAGCTCTAGGCTCAGGCTCACAGCATTAAACGATTGGAATCAGGACGTTGCGACAGTAGGTGAGAGGTATAACTTTCGAGTGCTTCTCCAACTATTAACCACAAACGAGTGCATGGCGCACCTCAGAGCAGAAGAGTCTACTGCAGAAGTGTCCATATTTGACTGTTCACGTACACAAATATGCTCTAGAGGAGAACCAATGTCTTCAAACTGGACCTAAGTTCGTAAAAGAGCTATCATTAGGGTACATTGACTTCTAAATGCTTAGGCAAAAACGAAAAGAAGGTTTGTCTAAGGGTGACTTGCTGATAAGGGTTTATTTCGGTTGTGAAAAAAAGGTATTTTGTCATGGTGATCACTATTCCCCATAAAATTGATCTTGAAGAGAGCTGCAAGTATTTATACAGTAGCGGTCAAAAGTGTTCGCCGAAACGATTTTCAGTGCATTATTTTTCTCGCTTGAGCAACGCCCTCCAAAGATTGATATACTATGTTTTCTAGTGTTTTTATATCCTCAAGTCTTAAAGAATCAGGATATTCAAAAGAAAAATTTTCGAGGCCACCATTGATTTTCCACGCAGGAAAAAGAGAAGCGCGAAACGGTTTTTCGTGCTTCTCTGTGTGCAGTGCGATCTCTTTGGACCGCTGCTGCATGTTGAAAACTGGGATGTTCCGAAGGGTAGCTCCGAAACCCCATAAAAACAGTCCAACGGTACGATTTTCTAAAATGATCAATTGGGAACGATGCTATATATTGAAAAGCTCCAACCTTCTATTTTTCCAGAGGGTGAAGCGATTGGCAAAAGGCGAAGTTGAAAAATTTCATAGCAGTTGAAAGCCAATAAAAACCAGCGCTTTGCCAAAAATCGGTCCGCAAGTCCCCCAAAACGGCCCAACGGGACGGTTTTCTGAGTCCATCAATTTTGAAATGTGTCCAAGTATTCGTTTGAAAGCTCCAACCCCTCTAGTTTTTTTCCAGGGGGTGGAGAATCACAAAAAGTTGGAATCTGAAGAAAGTTACAGCCATTGAAAGCCAAAAAACCTCTTGTGCACAAAAAACGGTCCAACGGGGCGATTTTTTGAAGAAATGAAAGTTTACTAAAGCTTGAATGATTTTCAGAGAAAAAACAATCAAGAGTTTCTAAAATTTTTACCACTCCTCACGTTTTCTTATTTGAAGACCGTCCAAATGAAGAAGTGAGCATATTTGTAAATTCTAAATTTTGTGCTCCATAACCAACGAAGTTATGAAGGTGCGCACGAACTTAATAGTTCTTTTAGACTGGTAGCATTGACATCGTACAGGATTACACTCATTTGAAAATTGGTAGTCCGTGTCGGTCTATGCGCGCCAGGCTGAAGGGAAGATTGTGCGCGCCAATGCAAAGGCGACGCTACCGCCCTCAGTCGGACACTTCTACGGTAGAGTCTCGTGCTCTAGATGTGCCATGCATTCGCTTCCAATTTAAAATCGCAAATATTTCAATTTTTGTATGTGCTTCTGCATCGAAATGGGAATATTCTTTATGATTTTGGAAGCCAAGTCGTGAAAGCTTAACCATCCTTCCTACGCAAGCAGCTTCATTCAAACTTTAGGCCAATCCTGTTCAGCAACTAATGAGGCAGTTCGATCTGCGATTTTGTGCTTATCACAGAGCTACTGGAGCTCGTCTGCTACTTGTGTTTGAATTCAAGCTATGTGCCTTGTGGTTTTTTGTAGATTGCACTTATTTTCCGTGATGTTATCCTTTTTTGGCAGTGTACAGTACATAATAAGTGCTGGGGGTGTCGTATTGAGACTTCCCAGGAGGAGAGGAAAATTCTTGAAATCGGCCCAGCGTGAGGGTTGACTCTGCATGACAGGGTGGGGCTCGTCGCGTAGGTGCGTTGTAGACTTCGCAATTGTCGTTCTCTTCCCCAGTGATTCACCATCAATTGCCAGTAAAACGACCTAAGCATTGCCAGAAAAATGCCCAAGCTGCAAGTGGGCGAGGTGTAACAATGCCGTTCTTTCGATAGCTAAGTTCTAATGAATGAACCTTTTTGTTGCAACTGGCTCCCAAACATGACGCATTCACATAGGGAGAATAGGACACATTTTCCATGTGCAATTTCCTCCACTAACTAGAAAAGGAAGCTATTAGGGTTAGCAATCTGCCATCTTCCTCCAAAAATCAATACAAATGCTTTTGATGTCCACTGCAGCGAGAGCTGGTATATTTGCTTTTCACTGCCTCCTTCTAGTCAAAAGTCTACTACTGTACCTTTAGGTAACCTCTACGCACTCGGCCATTGCTGAAACTATGTCGTGGTAATCATATATTGTGTATAAACCCAAGAATTGAGGTGACTATCCTCGCAAAATCACGCCAGTGAGACGCGACCGAAATAGTCAAAATTCCCGCTTTCTTCAGAGCGTAGAATCACACGGATGCTCATTTATACACATTCAGTCATGCGAAGCACGTTTATGTATGTCACTTCACAAAACTGGAACTTCAAACACACTTTTCAATATAATATCACTATGCCTGAGTATGTGACGTTTGATCAAGATTTCACACCTCCGTCTACCTCGCACCTTGCCTCGCACATATGCAGAGTTGACTTAATTGCATGCGCTGCCTAATATCCCTTCTCTGTCAAGCAAACCACATCAAAGCAAATCAAATTTATTAACGGAAGAACTATTAAAGAGTCATTGAAGTCATAAGGTGAGGTGATTTGAGGTGTTATTCAATGAATTAGCTTCCCTGGAGGCGGTCAACGATGTGTACACTTGTGACACAGCAACCTATCTATGCAAAGAGTATCCAAACACAAATAACTATTTGCTGAAATAGGTTCCTAATAGTTCATCGTTGACCGATGTATTGGGATATTCGGAAAGTTTCCGCCGATTTGACCCTCAAATTTAAAAGCGCATATCTGATTCAAACAATTCAAGTAACGGACTTCTGTAGGCGGAGAAGTCGGCGAATTTCATTTGTTCATCGTGTTGGGTTTCAATGTTTGTCTTTGAAAAGACTATCCAAATGGCTGGAAAAGTGATAGTTGGTAGGCAAGAGGGCTACTGTGCAAGATGTTCGCAGCTCAGTGTTGTAGCTCAGTTAGGTAAACTTGTGCACGGTTGGAAGTGCGAGATGGGGCTGCACAACTGTGGGAGAGGAGTCGGCTGCACCCACTCGTCTACTTCTCTGAACGTTTCACCCTCACCTGGACATTTAGGAAGCCCATCTCAGTCACGACTGATTTAGAAGAGGCCTGTTGAACAGTTCCATGCAGATTTGGCTTGATGAGTACCCTCAGTTATAGTTTGTCTGTCTCCGTTATGACCTTCACCCTAATCTCTCTTCGAAGCCTTCATCATCGCGAGAATGGCGCTTTGAATCACAACTGCACACCATGAATTTTGTGGAATTCGGGACCAAATGCTCAGTTGACATCAAGCACAACTTGCTCCCGCACTTTTCGAACCAAAATTTGGTTGGAAAACAAGAAATTCGTGCAAAACAGCCTGTTATGTTGTATTAAAAGCTTCAAAAAGGGGGAAAATTGTTCAGGGTTGAAGTAATAGTAGATTAACACGGAGCGAAGAACGCGCTTTCCAGCAGACTCTCGAAAGTCATCTAGAATTGAAGCATTCAACAGTAAGAGAAAATCAAAAATAACAAAACTTCCAAACAGCCCCATTCATTCAGCTCACTTTCTTCCATCGAAGCTGTTTTCACTCATCTTACTTCATTTTTCATATGATGCATGTGAAAAGGGAATACCTTGTGTCCGTAAACGCACAGTGGTTTACGTTTTACGTAAATTTTATTGAAAGCACCCATGGATTCACGCCTTTACGAAGAATTCCCGTTGTCATCTTCATCAAAATATTGATTTTTTCAATTATTTTGATGTGATTTACAATGACAGAGAAAGGTCATCAGGCAGCGCATGCAATTAAGTGAGGTCATCCCACAGGCAACTCTGCATATGTGCGAGGCAAGGTGCGAAGTAGACGGAGGTGTGAAATCTTGATCAAACCTCCTACTCCCACTATGCCTCGACGCCATAACATACGACAACCTTACATTCCCTTTCGTTTGCTAATAACAGGCTTTTAGCTCACCCGAATCTGAGATGTTTCGTGTCACATGCTGGGCTGAACAGTGTTACTAGAACTGACGAGGAGTGGAAAGCCTTCGATCCTGGTGCCATTCTTTGGTGATCAAGTCAGGTCTGAACTGATACATTGGAAACTCCGACTAGGACATGCAATGAGACGTAGAGAATTTCACACTGTTACAAGATTCTTGCAGAAATGCGCGTTACGTGGAAGTTAAACATACAACAATAGTCATCGCGAAAGAAGAATTCAATTTTGACAACTACGCAGCTGCTCTCCGACAAGTGCTTAATGATGAAAGGTGAGAAAAACTGGGCATTTCCAGAATGTGATTCAATACTCCGTGACGTACTCTGTCATATACGTAAAAAAGCGCCTGCAATCCCAACCGGAAAAGAATCGAAAGCGATTTCTTCAAATTGGGATTTCAGGTTCTTTGAATACGTGCACGTGACGCAGTCGTCCTAATACCTTTAATATCGCGAGATGGAAATCTGTCTATCAGTCTTTCTAGCGCCGTTGGCCTTACCCGACGGGTACGCATGTTTCACCAAGGTTTTCGCATGCCAGAGCCAGATAGCTCAGCATTAGGTGTTTGTTGCAAAGCCCGCAACAGTGGGAGGAGAGTGGCGGCAAGAGCGTTAAAAATTGGCTTTAACACTTTGGAGACCGCGCGTGTTTTACGTTCCGCGGCCGCGCGG